CGTTAACGGCAATTATTTACCCAGGCTATATTTAGGATAAGGAGAGGAGAGGGTGAGTAGATTTGCAAATCAGCGATTTTACTTGACCCGTGACACAGTTAATAAGAACAAGTAAAGCAAAATAACTTCAACTACAAACAAAAGAAGACAATAGAATTAATGCATTATAGTGCGTGGTATTCTACCACCTAGTTCACGGCTTAAGTAGAATCACTCTAGCTATCTAGTTCTCCTGTTTATATATCTCAATCATAAGGTCTCGTTTAATTAGATCCAATAATATTGTAAACCAAATTGATTCAAATATTTAGGGAAAACAAAGTTGAAAAAATAGTAGTAGTAGTAGTGGTAGTGGTAGTGGTAGTGGTAGTGGTAGTGGTAGTGGTAGTGGTAGTGGTAGTGGTAGTGGTAGTGGTAGTGGTAGTGGTAGTGGTAGTGGTAGTAGTAGTAGTAGTAGTAGTAGTAGTAGCAGTGGTAGTGGCATTGGTAGTGGTAGTAGTAGTGGTAGTGGTAGGTAGTGGTAGTGGTAGTAGTAGTAACAATAGTAATAAATTGCTTTATTTGCATGACAGCATCATTTTACAGTATTGCAAAAGCATGCATATGACAATCAAAATATAAAACAAACAGCACTAATAATAATCTAGAAAAATTCAGTTACATTACTAACAGTGAATCACGTATTTTCATACAGGAGGAAACAAACTTCATAACTAACTTATTTACATGATGTTCCTTCGAATTCACTATCAGTTTTATGCTTTCTGGAGATGGTTTCTTGTCAAAGTCAGGTATTATTCGATTGATCTGATTAATAAATGCCTGTCTCTGCACTGAGTATTTGTTAGAAGTAGTAGTAGTGGTACTGGTACTGGTACTGGCGTGTGACCCCACTCCCTTCCTTTTCGCGCCACTTCTCAGCCACTTAGACCCCCTCCACACGAATCCGGTTACTTTTGAAACCACCAATTTATTTATTTGTTTATTTCTTACAGGAAACGGCTTTCAATACACGTAAATCCGGTTGACAGAAATGCGCTTTAAAGAAGGTCGCAATGGGGTTTAATGTTCAGTATTATTGGCCCATAATTTTAAGTGTTTGCTGTTAAACTGGCCAATTTTGAACGTTTGCTGTTTTCAAAGAAAATACTGTTAAGTATTTGGAGGGTTCTTCGAACATCTTCGACAATGGTCGGACCTCTTCGATAGTCCTCCGAAATCTTTGACAGTCTTCGGGAATCGTCGGTAGCCTTCGGAAATCTTCTGAAATAATCCGGAATTGTCGTAAAATGGCCGAAAACTCCATGACATACTAAACAAAATAATATTGGCCTTTTTCGAGTCGTTTTTGCTTCTTTCCGGAAAAAAGTAACTGTTTCAAAGAATTTTTTACTGCTAGTGTTAAAATGCTCAAAATTTAACTGTCTGATGTTACAAAGCCAAAAAATGAAGCGTTTAATGTTATCGAGGTACCTCCATTCAGACCCTCTTCAGAGGAAACCTTAATGAAGATGTCAAGTTGATTGTATTATACATTGACTTATTAACAATTATTCATCGAGCCCGAATGGGCTCTAAGTCAATAGCCCATTCGGCCTTCGGCCTCATGGGCTATTGACTTAGAGGCCACGAGGGCGACAGGAATAATTGTTTTGGTAAAATCCAAGTAGTTGGTGAAAAATATCGAGATAAAACAACTTTAGTTAGTTAAAGCTGGACTTTAATCCTTTTTGCCGCCAAAAAGCCGGCGCTTTTCGCTACTAGTGGGCTATAACATATAGCCTAGTACCAGCTCAACCAATCAGAACGCAGCATTGTTAATAGACCACTAGTTGGATTTTACTAAAATGTGTCATCTCCCTTGGGAAGTTTATTTACCAATTATTGAATGAGGCTGAGTATGGTCTGAAGATTTAAGCAGATCATAGAGGGTATCATCCGTCGAGGCCTGAGGCCGTATTTTGTTTCTTTTGACATGTTTTCTTGCTTATACGCGACTAATAGAGGCAATGCAAAAATACAAACCTAGTCCAGTAGTATGATCAGCACTAGGTCCAGTATTAATAGTTTGCGTGTAGGACTGATGAAACCTCCAATCTAAGTTGTCACTTTTAGAATTGCTCCACATCCCAAGGCGGCCATTCTCAAAGTCAGCATCGTCATTATCTGTAAAAACGAGACGATGGAGGAACACTCGGGTAAATAAATGGCACGCTGTAAAATTTTCTGGCACGGGTAGATTTACTTAGCTCATTATTTATTTACTTGTTTATTTATCTACTTGTTTTTCGCCCCATGTAAGGGAATTCGGATTCCGGAATCCGGGGGATTTTTGCATTGGAATCTGGAATACAGCTCAAGGAATCCAGAATCCCACTAACGATTGGAATCCAAGTTCCACTGACAAAGAATCCTGAATCCAGTACCTGGAATCCGATCCTGAATTCTTGGCGTGGAATCCAGAATCCAAGACCCTCTTGGCCACATAGGACAATGTTTTAAAAAGCAATCGTAACATCCAAAACGATCACCAACATCATATGAANGCCTGAGGCCGTATTTTGTTTCTTTTGACATGTTTTCTTGCTTATACGCGACTAATAGAGGCAATGCAAAAATACAAACCTAGTCCAGTAGTATGATCAGCACTAGGTCCAGTATTAATAGTTTGCGTGTAGGACTGATGAAACCTCCAATCTAAGTTGTCACTTTTAGAATTGCTCCACATCCCAAGGCGGCCATTCTCAAAGTCAGCATCGTCATTATCTGTAAAAACGAGACGATGGAGGAACACTCGGGTAAATAAATGGCACGCTGTAAAATTTTCTGGCACGGGTAGATTTACTTAGCTCATTATTTATTTACTTGTTTATTTATCTACTTGTTTTTCGCCCCATGTAAGGGAATTCGGATTCCGGAATCCGGGGGATTTTTGCATTGGAATCTGGAATACAGCTCAAGGAATCCAGAATCCCACTAACGATTGGAATCCAAGTTCCACTGACAAAGAATCCTGAATCCAGTACCTGGAATCCGATCCTGAATTCTTGGCGTGGAATCCAGAATCCAAGACCCTCTTGGCCACATAGGACAATGTTTTAAAAAGCAATCGTAACATCCAAAACGATCACCAACATCATATGAAAAGATGTTTCGAGAATAACCTGTGCCAATACAGGCTTTTTAAACTGGCGATTGAAGTGTTTTCTAATTATGTTGCTTTTGAGTAGGGAACTAAATGTGACACTTAATATGGGTATTTCCGACGAAATCGAAGTCGCGACGATCCCGTTTAATCAAACGACGATTTTAGTGATGAAAGCGAGGATCGCCAAGTTGCCACTCCGATGACGTTTGACAACGTTAGTCGTGTGATGACGGTAAAGCAATTTGTCAAAAAGCCCTGCTGCAAGTTCAGAGTTTTTGTTTTACTTATTAAGCCTGTTGCAGTTTTTGTTTCTCATTTCCGTAGACTTCGCCGTGGTTTCTTGAGCTCGCTGGTAGTAAAGAGGCGAGGAAAACGACGTTCGGCCTCTATGTACCCATACCAAAACACAAATGTTAATGAGTTTGAAACAAAGGCAAAATACAATTTAGGGCCTATTTATATGAGGTGAGCCGAGCTTGCCTACTCGTATGATACTGGGCTGGCTCAGCTCATGCTTTTGTCTCCTCTTTAAGCTTTCGTCGCAATTATATGAGGAAGCAGGCTAGCCGGCTTGTCGAGATCCTGGCTCGAACAACCGGGATCTTGGCAAGCTGGGCCAGCCCGCCTTCTTAAAATAAACACAATGATAATTTCTTAGGAAACAAGGCATTAGCGGAGCGATCTAAGTAATAAAGAGGGCCAGCCCGGCTAACCGTACTGGTTCACCTCAAACAGGCCCTTAACGTGTATTTGACTCTCACCAAGATTGCAACGCTTCAAGATACACATTCCCTTCTCGGTTGAAGAGCCTGGACACTGTTTTCCATTATGTCCCGGTCGTGGGTTGTCGCATCTTCGAAATCGAGTTTTGACGCCATCGTTACAAGTTTTACTGCAAGGCCCCCAATTCGACCAACGACCCCAATGACCGTCGATAGGAGCTATATAAGGTAAAAGAAAGTTAAGTTAGCGTTTGTTCGATGAGTTATTTACGTTTGACTTGGCCCTTTGTCATTTTATTCACCATTTTCATATTGCCCATAATACATTTTGTTTACCTCCTTGCCCCCTGCATAAGCATTTTCCTCAAATTATATTTGGTCTCGTTCACACGTATCAGGATATTTTAGAAAACGGACATTTTTTTCCGTTTTTGAAAAATCATTTTCGCCCGTCCCAAAGGAAACGCTAAAACAATGGAAAAAAGAAAGCTTACCATACAGGGCATGCGCTGTTCTTCCGTCCACACCAAAAGGATAAACCGGCGGGACCATTAAAGTCTTGGGACCATTTCCATGAACCTGCATTTTTGGTACCCGAAATACCGTTAACGTGTGGACCGAAGGCTTAAGCGTTTTCGAAAATATCAAGGACCCTAAACTTTTTGACAGTTGTTTGTTTATTTGTTTGTTTGTTTTCTCAGAAGAACACAGTAAGGATGATCGTTGGCCGTATAAACTCTATGCTTCTCGGACAGCTTCAAAGATAAGACGAAATCATAACAATTATTTCAGAAGTTATTTGTTTGTTAGAAAATGTTATTTACCAGGGCATATGGAAGATGGACACTTGACCCTCTCTTTTTCTACGCCGTAAGCATTAACGTTTCCACCACAAGCTTGTTGGTTTCCCGAATTAATGCAGAATCTCTCACGTGTGCGATAGCACTTCTCGTCACAGGGAGTCCATCCAGACCAAGACGACCAACCATTGGTAAGTTCTAACATAACAAATAATAATGATAATTATAATTATAATGATAATGACAATACCAATGATAATGATAACGATGACGATAATGACAACGATATAACGATAACGATAACGATAATAATAATGATAACGATGACGATGACGATAATAATGATAATGATAATGATAATGACAATACTAATGATAATGATAATGATAACGATAACGATGACGATAATGACAACGATATAACGATAACGATAACGATAATAATAATGATAATGATAATAATAACGATAATGATGACGGTAATGACAACGATATAGCGATAACGATAACGATAATAATGATAATGATAATGATAACGATGACGATAATGATAACGATATAACGATAACGATAATAATAATGATAATGATAATAATAACGATAATGATGACGGTAATGACAACGATATAGCGATAACGATAACGATAATAATGATAATGATAATGATAACGATGACGATAATGATAACGATATAACGATAACGATAATAATAATGATAATGATAATAATAACGATAATGATGACGGTAATGACAACGATATAGCGATAACGATAACGATAATAATGATAATGATAATGATAACGATGACGATAATGATAACGATATAACGATAACGATAATAATAATGATAATGATAATAATAACGATAATGATGACGGTAATGACAACGATATAGCGATAACGATAACGATAATAATGATAATGATAATGATAACGATGACGATAATGATAACGATATAACGATAACGATAATAATAATGATAATGATAATAATAACGATAATGATGACGGTAATGACAACGATATAGCGATAACGATAACGATAATAATGATAATGATAATGATAACGATGACGATAATGATAACGATATAACGATAACGATAATAATAATAATGATAATGATACAATAACGATAACGATGACGATAATGATAACGATAATGATAACGATTCTAAAACTTTGTGCGATGTCTTCAGCCTGAAGACATCGCACAAAGTTTTAGAATCTTAAGAAAGTGTCAGAACAAATTTGACTGTCTTATTTTTGAAATGTTTTTTATCCAAGAACTGAAACCGACGCTTAACAAACAGTGCGATTCAATTCGCGCCAAATTATTTGTTTAGAGTAGTTCTTGTTAACATTGTTTTATTTCCATTGTTTTTTGACTTTATAAATATTTTTAGCACTTTTTACATTTTTACATATTTTACCACATTTTAGCGTTCACCACATTTTTATCTATTATAACTTGTTTTTAACTTATTTATGCTAATTTAGAGAACTTTTATACACTTGAAAATGACCTCGGAGAGGTCGAAACGTCGTGATTTTTTATCGCTAATATTTATCTCAAAATCGATAATAACAATGATGATGATAATGATAATGATAATGATAATGATAACGATAACGATAACGATAACGATAATAATGATAATGATAATGCTAACGAAGACGATAATGACAACGATATAACGATAACGATAACGATAATAATGATAATGATAACGATAACGATAACGATAACGATAATAATAATGATAATGATAACGGTAACGATAATGATAACGATATAACGATAACGATAATAATAATGATGATGATAATGATAATGACAACGATAACGATAACGATAGAACGATAATGATAATGATGAACATTTACAATTCATGATTAGTATAAAATATACTATAAGCCTGGCCCCTCAAGTAGAATTCTCCTTCGCCTATGCACTCCCTTGTGCACCAGTTGGACGAAATATGGTACTTTAGAACATAACTACTCACTTCTGCAATTGTATAAAGCATTGATTTCGACTGCGTCTCTGGTACTTAGAAGGTGATTTGAAGCTCCAAATTCCATGTTCTCGTTTCCAATGGCCACAATGGTGGGTTTGCCGTTTTTGGTGAATGCCAGTCTATCATAATGCATGACGGACTGATAATCATAGGAAACGCCCAAATTATCAATAGTCCTCCACGAATATTTGTCAAACTGGTCTTTATACTCTAAAATAAAACAAAATCAGGTAGGTGAGGTAGGTAGAGTGGGTAGGTAAGTAAAACACTTGGCTTAACGTATTTCATGTAAAGACATGATTTGCGCACATTTAACTATGAAGGAGCAATTCATGATATTACTCCATCATGCTAAAATTCAAAAGCGCTTTTTTGATGCATTTTATAATAATTGGAAAGTAACTGCGACCCCAGGAATGGTGAAAGATGCCAAAGAAATGTAATTTCTGACGTTTGAGAAACATGGGAAAGAATTCGACAGAAATAAATAGAATCCTGATGGCACGGTAAGGGGCGTGGGGGATTCGAGGGATAGATTCGGATTATTTATGGTTTTGGCGCGAGAAATGTCCTTGTCTTGTGTTAGTTAAGTCAGAATAGATATCTGAACACTTCTAAAGACACCACGTAGATTTCAAAGTATTAGTTTAAACAAACCAATATTTTCAATTGACGTACCTGAAAGCTACGAGTGAAAAGTCGTGTCGTCGAAAATAAATAAACCTTTTTAGCTTTCAGTTTGCAACAATAGTTTGCCGTCTGTCGCTGATGGCCGGTTAACACAACGTAAGTATGATTCACTACTGTATGCAATATCTTACTTGGTAGAATGTTCTCCCAATAGATCTTGACATATTTATCTCGATCGCTTCTTGCTTGCTCGTGGAAGAAACCTGAAGCAGATATTAAAGATGCTATATACAACTGGATCTAAATTACCAGTGGCGGATCCAGAGGAGTGGCCCGGGGGGGCCGGCTCCCCCCTTATTTTTAGACCAAACTGAGGCGCGAAGGGCCGAAAAATTCTTTTTGGAGACCGCCCTTCCCTCCCCCTCCCCTCCCTCTTATATTAAGGTCTGGATCCGGCACTGATTACTACCTGTATTTACTGGCATGGGTACTGACAGGACCAGGACTCCTGGACAGGACTTTACTAAAACGAGGAACGAAGAACGGGAACGAACCCGGGAAGCAAGGGAACAAAAGGTAATTAAACCCTACCCCTGTCAGTATCTTCATTGCCTATTCTCCCTTTTTTCATTTTGCAATTCCCATGCGCAATACCCATTCTCTCTTTAGTAATAGGGACTTTAAGATCCAACGACGCGGACGACAACGAGAACGTCAAAAAACCAATAGGTTTAATTAGCAAAACAACAACTTCGCACGTGCATCACACTTTTTTGTACATTTCTTTCCCGTTTTTGCACGACTACGACGTTTTATGGAGGACGTAAACAAGCAACGACGAAATTATATTTCTCTTTCTGAGCTTGAATATGGTCCCTTGAAATTCAGCTTCATGAGGGTTCGCCTACAATTGACAAAGTAAGTGGGTAGGAATAATCGCTATAAAGACTGGAAGAACGCAAACTCACTTTTTAAGCAACGTTCTTGTTGCCGTCGTGTCGTTGGATCTTAAAGTCTCTTCCTTCGTAGACGGCCATGACTCGTTCACATTACACAATTTGGTTCACCTGCGTTAAGGTGGCTGAACAAAGTTTTGCGGGCAGTCAGCGGTAACTCGCGTAACGGCGAAACAAACAAACATGGCGGCGAAAAAAGCATTGGTACACAGAAGACGGTTTCTACTCATTAAAATTTTGTGATATTTGGCAGAATTTTGACTTTTATCGTATTTAATTAATGAGGACTTTAAAATGGAAGTTGAACAGACGAATTTTGTGATTGATTATCTAAAAACCCGTCTGTTGAAATTTGGTCAAATAAGTTTCAAATGGTAATGATTACTTATAGTAAGCTGTGTGCAAGTTTATAGGAAAATCTAATGAGGGAATTTTATGTAAACTGAGCAAAAGTGAAATTTTAAGGTTGTGTCCAATCGTTCATGTTGTCATGGAAACAACGAAAACGTCACATTTTACCTGTCGATCACAATCTTTCATCAGTATGTTTTTCACCTGCCAAGTTTCAGCTTTTGAGCTGCAACCTTTCCCTTGCCATGATTTGACAAATGACATATACTCACAAACTGCCAAAACTGTGTTCAGCCACCTTAAGAAGAAATTAAAGTTAACGCAACGGAGTGCGTGTAACGGAGTGCGTTAAAGAACCGTTGAAACGAAACATCATTGATATGTAGCCAGCCGATAGACCTGAAGGCCTGGGACTACAAATTTTTGGTTTGACCAGTCTACTGTTTGTAATAAATTATGTGTTGTTGAGGTGAGCTAAAAAAAAAACTTATATTAAGAGCTAAAAGTGTTGGTGAGGTCACTGCGTACTAGCCATGCGTACAATTTTTAGGATAGGTGGAAATGAAAGCCAGCCAAACCTACAATTAGTCGAAAAGCTGGCTACACCCCTACAAACCATGTACTGTAGATCACATTGTAGTCCCGCATGCAAAACTTGAACGCCTAGCTCGAACATGCGATAAGGGCAGCCCACGATCTTTTTGTCCATCGCATAAAAACGCGAGAGAAAAATTACCTATTGCATGCATCATTTCATGCACGATCGTTGGGACGTTATTACAGCCATCACCAAGGGAGACTTCTTGAGGCTGGCTTTGAGCATAACGCTTTCCCACCTTTGATGAACACCTAAAATGATAAAAAACGGTTTAGATGAAGAAAAAAACTTCAGAAGTTTCTCAAATGGTTTTCTCTCAATGCTTTAGAAGCCGGAGTGGTTAATTCTGAGCTGCTCTAAAAACTATTTTATCCAATAGGATGTCCTAGGGGAACTTTTCTAGTCTTGACAGTTTTACGGTTATTGGATTTTTTTCAGGTCTCCCCTGAAACTGTCAGCTACCCTGATGGGTCCGGTCGAGGGGTCGAGGACATGAGAAGCCGTCGGTTGCATTTTCTATATACCAGAAAAAAAAAAAGCCGTGATCTGCGGTTATCCAGAAATTTTTAGCCTTTCTCGGGCTTAAGAAAATCCTAGGAAATATTTTGCTTAGTCCCTAGGCCTCATTATTTCGCGCGGCCAAAGCGTTTCGGGTCACGTGGTGCAAGCGAAGATTTGATGTTTTCTTGTTTCCCGTCCATTCGCCTCGGATACGTCCCCGAATTGAATTGACCGAGAGGGACTGGGGAAAGCCGTAGAGGGACTAGACAAGGAAATATTTATATCTGCTCATTTGAACAGTTATTCACTTCAAAGAACAAAGTTGTTAGGTAGTCTTATCCGCATGCGCGTTTTACCAGGAGGAGAAAGAAAGGGCGGGGTGGGAGGGGAGGGAGCGGGGTAGGGAAAGGGAAAGGGAATTCTCATGGGACAGCTGATAGGTGAACAGTGTAATTCCCCTTTAATTCAGTCCATCTTCCATGCTCCTCTCACGCAAAGTAAGTTATTTGCACCTTTTTCGTATAATTATTTTAAGCAATTTTGTGCCTTAATCCTGCTAAGAAAAGAAAATTTAAAAAGAAAGAAAGAAAACATGGCGCACCTCTGGATTTCTCTATTCGATAACTTACCCGTCGTCGTTTCCAAATCGAATGTAGTTACCCCCATGGACTGCCCTGTTGTAGTATTGAAATCGGATGCATGTTTTACTGTGGAATTCCTGAATCGCTTTGTACACATTAGACCTCACATGGCCTGTNTCTATTCGATAACTTACCCGTCGTCGTTTCCAAATCGAATGTAGTTACCCCCATGGACTGCCCTGTTGTAGTATTGAAATCGGATGCATGTTTTACTGTGGAATTCCTGAATCGCTTTGTACACATTAGACCTCACATGGCCTGTGTGTTAAATAAGAAAGAAATTAAGTCTGAGTTTCGCGCATACTGATCGCCGCCACTTTTAAAGCAAAACGATTTTGTTAGCCTCCACCATGACGAGGCCCTGAGAAGGTTTGCGTAAAGAAGATACGATCTTGTGTAACGACAATTATAACACAGCTTGCAGGCGGAGTTTATTAGGTTACAAGGTCAAGCTAAACGCATTCTAGGGAGTAACCAAGTAAGCAAAGGGATTTTCATGGCTGTTTGTGCACTGGTTCCCGAGGGCTGTGAGCAAAACAATAAGACGAACGAAATAGCAGAAGGGGTAGGAGGACTAGGAGTCAGATGACATGCAACGTGATAGGAAAGAAGTAGAGTAGCGAATTGGCTAATACTTGGACTGCAAAACAGTCGGGTTTCTTTTTTTCTTAAAATCAGTAAAGCGTGGAGTAAGAGTCCTACGCGCGCGAAGCGCACGGGCCTTTGTTCGCCCGTAGGGCGTGTGAGGCGTATCTTTAGCGTCTCCCCCAGTCTCGCTCTCCGTTTTCAGCCTCGTTTTAGACCTTTTGTTTGAATGCTCGCGCGTACCTGCATACGCAAAAATAAGGACTGTTTTGCAGTCTAAATACTTTACGTCCCTGTTTTTCCTTAGAAGAAGTGCTACGAAAATACATACTCATGTAGGAGGGAATGTAGTACGGTATAATCCGGGTGTTCCATAATCGTTTTTTTTCCCGTATGGCGTTCCGTGAGTTTCCGCCATTTCTTATGTAGTCCTCAAGTTCGGGGTCAAGCTTTATGTCTCCTTGGTAAAAATCTGATATGTTTTCTGTTACAAAGAGACAAAAATAAAAATAAATCTTAAGAAAAGAGGTTCAACAATTATGTATCCTAAGGGCCATCCTTTTTCATGCAATTACGTTAAAAA